CATGTAAATGAGCATTTTAATATAAATCATTAGAATATATTTATAGTATATATATAAATGTATACATTAGAAGGTAATATTGAAATTTTGCTCTACAGATTATTACTCTAGAATTAATTCTCTTTAAAAAAAATATATCATGGGGAAGAATTAGAAGATGACTGTGAAACAGATTCTTCCATTACAATACTGCTTCTGTCATGTAGAGTTTTGACAACAGTCGTGGCTGGTGACTGCAGCACTTTGCGAGAAAGCCTCATTCTTCCATCAGCTGGATCACGTCCAAAATATTTGACCTGTGTTAAAGAAACAAATTTACTTTTAAAGTTATTCCTTGTTTACTGAAACCATAGCTCAGGCTAAGTGAGGGTATATGCTAATAAATATAATTTGGTTAAGCAGTGATTATAACAAAGGAAAAGAGACGGGGTATTATTTGCCTAATTATAATTTGTTAGATTAATTTGTGCCTTCTTATTCTCTCCAGGGCAGGTCCCTACACCAGAAATCAAGTGAAAGTCATGATAAATGATTTTACAAGGGCTTCTGAGCCTAATTGTGCTACAAACTATACAGGATTACACTTAGGTCGCTCAGACTACTGCTCAGAGGACTATCACACTGGAGATTATTTGGCTTGATCTTAGACAATGAAAGTCAGGGGGACTGTGGCAGTATTTAAAATCCCTTATGATGTTAAAAGAAAAGTCTTATACAGAGATATTATGTCTTAGTTCTCATCTCTCCCTAGAGGCTACTTGAACAATGGGCTTGTAGACTGGGAATAAATTAGAAGCCACAGTTACTCAGATCATGGGTATTAGGTATAACTGAAACAAAAGGTGGTGTGGCCTAAGAAACTCAAACTGGCAATAAGTTCTTTCATCAACTCCAAAAGGACTATTAAAAAAGGCCAATTTTGTTATCAATTCTGGAACTGAACAATACGGCTTTTATCAAACTCAAAAACTTTTATCCTCAAGCAGTGTATTAGAGTCCCAACTCTTTAAATATGACATTCAAGATCCTTAACAGAGTTATCATGGTTCTATTGTCCTGTCACTAAATCACTGACTCTGCATAGCCATCACTAACTTGTTCGTGTAATTTTAAAAGCTCTAAATGGAACTATTATTCTAACTAAACTGTAAACTATAGACTCCTTGAGGGAACGAACAGTCTTAAATCCTTAATGAGTCTATTTAAGCAACCCTAAGGTTAAAAAAGAAGCACAGCAGATAAATAATACAAATCACAAACATTGCCCTGGTTAGAGAGTCCTTCCTGAAACACCATGGTTGTGGGTTCAATCTCCAGTTGGGACATACAAGAAGCACCAGTGCATGCATAAATAAGTGGAACAACAAATGTTGATTTGATTCTTTTAGGTTACTTTTTGAAACAATAATTGAAACTTTAAGTACAATTTACAATTCTAGGCTAAAGGGTAGAATACAAGTACCTGAATTTCTTGGCCAACTTCTAATCCTAAGGCAGTGGGATGCTGAATCTGAAAGAGAACATGTTAAACTATTAGTTGTCATTTATAATTACTTAATATCTATGGTAATACCCATTTTTCCCCAAGTGGAAAATAGCTTTATTGGTTTTTCTGATTATAAAATCATAATTATAAAGATTTAAAATAATACATAAGTATTCAGATGATAGTAAAAAGCATCTAAAACCCTTCTACTTGTAGATAAATTATTGCTAACACTCCAATGAGTATCTCTTCAAATGTTTCCCTATTTAGTGTTTGTATTGCATTTGTTAAAATGGACGTTTCTGAGCTTGTTGTTTCATTCAACGTGTTGAAGACATCTTTTCATATCAATAAATGAAACATTACAGTTGAGTACTGAAATTATGTAATTTGTATAACGAATCCCCTATATATGGTCACTTTATTTTAAAATTCCAGGGTTGCAAATCCTAATTGATAAATATAGGTGAAAGTGATATGGGTTTCAGTGTATTTTCCAAAATAAAAAGTTGACAAAAAATTAACTGCAGTGTTGAAATGATTATGTATTCATCTACTCTAATTGTCCTCTTAGAACAAAGACCTATGTAGAACTCTTAGGTCCAAAGGTACTCATATATATTTACCAAATACTTTCCAAAAAGTTGGCTCCAATTTATATTCCTATCAGCACTTTATGAGAATGTCTATTTCTTTTCCACATTCTTATCTATACTGGGAATTTTCAACTATCCTAAAGTTGAAAAATGATAACTTTGAATATCTTGGTTGGCATTGAAAAATGATTGGTCTGTCATATTCTTTGCTCATTTTCCTATTGATATTCATCTTTCTTACTGACCTATACAAGATCTTTATATATGAATCTTTGTCATATGTTACAAGCATTTTTTCTTTAAGTTGTTGAATGTCTTTCAATCTTACTGTAATTTTGCAATATAATGAGATACAGTATTATTAATTTATTTACATTTTGGCTTTGATACCGTGCTGAGAAATATTTACCCAGGCAGAAGATTAAAATATTCTAGTCCTCTCTCAACAGCCTTCCATGCCCCAATTTTTTTTTATTTTTATTTTTTACATTTAGCTCTCGATCCAGATGGGATTTTGGTATTAAGAGTAGAGATCCTTCTTTATGATAACAAGCTGTAACAATACGATTTACTAAATAATCTCTGATTCTTCCCTGACTGAAAATACAATGTAAACATTGTATTATGTAGTTCTCTGTCCATAACTGGGTTTATTTCTGTTTTATGCATCATCTATTTCAGGGTCAGTAATAACTGTTTTGTTCTCTATAGCTTTATGCTTTAATATATGGTAAAAATAGATACTCCTATTATTCTGCCCTCCGTCCCATTGTTTTCTTGAGTATTTTCATATTCTGCCTATGAACTATATAACAAAGATTAAGTAAACTTAAAAACATCCTAAGAATTATCTTGCCTTGATTGATTGGTCAAGAAAACTGGGAAAACAGGGTTATTGCTATTTTAAGTAATTGCTTTGTGTTAACTCTAGATGTTATTTCACCCCAAAACTTTCAAGAACCGTTTCTATTCCGTCATGGAAGGAGAAACAAATATCTGTGATAAATAATGTAAAACCTTTTGTCAGCAGCATCTCTATCAGCTTTGGTTTTCTATATTAGGCCAGAGTGTACAGTTCTCACCAGCCCAGTAAATTTCACTATGATTATTTTAAGGCAGTTTGAAAAATCAAATGTCTTTTTTTTTTTTTTTACCTTTCGTTGATCAAGTTGTGAGTTATGAAGTAGTACTGCAGTCATATTTGGATATAGTTTAACCATTACTCCACTGTCTCTACAAAAAAGGAAATAGGCCTGGTTAAAACATTAAGTATCTATGTATCCATCGATAATCAAACTGTGATTATGTTTTCCTAAGAGAAAATAAAAAAACAAAAATCCCTCCAGTACATGTTTTTTCTTTCTTTTTCTCTCCAGTTTTATTGAGATATAACTGACACATAACATTGTATAAGTTTAAGGTTTCAGTACATGTTTTTATAACTATAAGAAGTATGATTGTCTAAAAGGGATACTTACTTTTTTCAATTAAAAATATACCCTATTTAAATATTTAAATACTATGTATCAAAGGACAGAGAAAAGATAACAGAAAATCATGCAGTGAAAAGCCTTTAAATAAATATATATATACACACACACACACATATATATTCTTTTTCTGTATTTCTCTTAATATTTTTCAAAAAATTTTGAATTGACATTAAATATTTTAAGAATTACCATCAACTTATTACACAGTGATTTAAGGAAGGAGGTTAGATAACTGGTATACTTATTTTATTTAAAAATTTCTTATTTTCTATAATCTAAAATCAGCCATTCCATTTTGTAGTTCTCACCTTTAATATTTCATTATCCAATTGCCTTTTATTATTCATTTCAAATTGCTTTGAACATTCATGCTACATCTGATAATTTATTTTTTTCATAGAAAAGGATTTTCTGATCCTTAAAATCAATCTTTTTTATCTAGTAAAAATAAAATGTACTACATAGGCAATAAATAGTACTTAAGACCAACAAAAAAATACCAAAGAAAGAAAAAGCAAAAGGAAAGAAAAATTAAATATTGCTAATAGTCTATTTTGGGTTTGTTAACTGTTTATTGGAAAAATTAAAAAGATGGGAAATTTGGTTAAACTATTCAGTTAGAAGAATCTATTATTATAATTTGTAATTACAGAACCATGTTACTGAAAATCTACAAACTGATGTAGAAAATAAATTTATACCTTAAAATAATTAATGATTATATGGTAACTGACATATAGTCTAAACATAACTTCTAAATAAATAAAGCAAACATATATGAAGCTTATAATATAAATCTTATTAAAAAAACCAATAAAACATATTACTTGATATTACCTGATTTCAGTTATTGTTGCAGTATATACTGCTCCAAATTCCAATTGCTGCTCTTGCTGTAAGTGCAAAATAAGCCATAAGATTCATTAAGAAACAGTAACAAAAAGTAGGAAAAAATAACTGTTATAAGATCCATACTTACATCATCTTTGCAGATTTCCATAATGTAGTCTCTTGCTTCATGCATAGCACTGGGTATTGGTGCAAATATAGAAAATGTTTCTTCATCTACCTGACTAATGGTTACACCTTTTAAAAAGATAATTTAACATATTAAAGTTAACTTGCTCATTCCAGTGGAGATTAGTCTGAAAAGATGTGAGTGAAGGAAAGTAACCTGGAAGTAGCTGGGCAGGGTTGTGCTATGTTTAATCAATGCTTTATTTACCAACAAATACACCCTGCATCTCTGGTATGTATCCAAATTGTGCTAGCCAATATCCCCTCTTTCTTGCAGCCCATAATCTGGTGGGATAAAGCATGCAAGTTCTAATTTTGGAGATTTTAGTTTTGCTCTCTTAATTATGAGTAAAGACGACAGTAGAATTCTTTCTTCAACTTTTCTTCTCTCTCCCTTTTATCCTTTAGAGTGGTGAACAGTGGATAAGGGAAGAAATCATGTCAGTTTCTCAATATTAACTGGCTAAGGTGACTCTCCTCACTCTCCTTCAATAATCTCAAAGCTGGTAAGTACTAGGTAACCCAAAGATTACTTTCAGAAAAAAACAAATTAAAGCTTACTATTTCTACATTTACTCTTTAAAAATAAGAGTAACGCTATGTGAAAAACAGCAGAAGTAATTGTAAGAGAAAATTAAAGCAGAACTCTAAAATGAAAAACTAAAACATTTTTCTAAATGCTTGATTTTAAATTGTTGCAAAAAACCTAGGAATTCTAGGTCATCCTTCTTGAAGACAGTTAAGGATGATCATTTGCTAATTTATTAATAGGCATACAGAAAACTTACAGTAAAGCCATATCTATGTTATATTCTTTTCTTTTGGTCTTCCTCTCATTTACCAAACATATATTTTTAAAGCAATGCAATAGAAATGAAGTGACAAACTTACATGGCCTAGCATTACATAAAAAACCCAAACTTCATATAACACTTACCTGTTTCAGCCTGAAGTTTTTTTAAATTATATCCACCTGGTCCAACAAACTTTGCTCGTTTTGATAATGGAACCTGAACAGTTTCTGAAATGTAGTATAGACAAAAATATAAATAAATACATATATGAATCCAAAACATGTCCTGGTTACTTAAGAATTTTTTGGCCTAGATACATGTACAATTATTTCAGTATGAAATAGAAAACAATTTGCTACTGATTAAAATTACTGAAAGTTCTAATATCAATATTCCCCCAAATTTAAAGCATTTAAATCATAGAAGTTTTAAAATAGATTTGTGTATGGAGTTACAAATATTGAAAAATCATAATATATTTTCATATATTAACATTTATCATGAAATCAGTAATAATTTTATTACCTATAACAGGTCCATTTTCTTTTCTAGATGCCCGAGGCTTTGAAATAACTTTGTTCATAATCTGTAGTATCTCCTTCTTTGCCACTAGGAGAGATTAAAAATATAATAAAAATAGTAATTACATAAACTAAATATGATAAGTTATAACAGCAGTTGTCTTAGTTTTTATGGCATAAAATTCAAATTTTTAGCTTAATAATAAAAGCTCTTCACATTTGTTACCTTAACAGTTCTACTTGTATTTCCTTCTCTATTATTATTATCTTAGAAAGTTACTTAATTTGAAAAATTTGAATTTTTAGTGGCCTCCCACTTTGGTGGTTAGTTATATGTCTAATAACTTAATACTTCTTGATCGAGGGTGTTACATGAAATTTCATTTTCTAAAGCAATGCTTTCTAATAAGCCTATCCTATCTAATAATAGACAAACATGGTAATTAACTGTACCTCTGACACGCTTCCCATTGGCTAATCAGGGTGATATGCAAATTAACTGCCAACCAAGATGGCGGCTGACAGCCAGGCAGCTGAAGAGAACAGGAGGCTTGCTTGCTCCAGTGAAGGAGGAAGCCAAGGTTCCCCACCTGCTGCTGCCAGCCTCTGAGCTGCAGTCTAAGAAAAAATGTTGCAATTATATACAAGCTCCAGATAGCTGCTTTCAGCCAGCTGGCCTCAGAGCTTAGCGCA